AAAATGCAATAGCAAAGTAAACTTCCGAAAAGGTTCCCTGTGATCCCTACATAGACACATCGCTAAGAGTAACTCCAGCTTTTTTTTTTTTTTTTTTTTTTTGTTTTTTGTTTTTGTAAATCCCCAGTCTAGCCTCTATTTGCAATTTGACTAGGAATCTATTTTGTATGGAGCATATAAAATATAAATTGTCAAAGGAGAACATGTCTACAAACATACTTCATAAACATTTCATAGGGTCTCCAGATCTGCCTTTACATCAAAACTTTCAATTTTTGTAATATAATTATACAATTAAAAAAAATTAAGATACTCAAATCCAGTTCTGATGTTTACTTTAATTATTTTTCTATTCTCTTAACTTGGTAATAAAAAAAAAATTCTTATAACAATTTCCATCCAATTCCAATTCGTACAGCTAACTATTTTTATAGAGTTCTTCTCTATATAAACTATATAAATTGTGTTATACATGTATCTATAATATATATATGCATATCTATATATAGCTACATATATGGATATAATTAAAATATTATTTAGGCCACTTAGAATTCTAAGCTGCCTTTCTTAGTTGGTTTTACCTACCTAGTAATACCCATTAGATTTCTATTAATAAAAATTAAGAGCTGCAAAGTTTGTTTGCTTCAGTTTGAGACAAAGTCTATTGGGATAGATGTGCATACTCTTAAGTTCAAGGCAGCGTTGCCAGATCAACAATTATTATTCGAAATCTCTTTTTTGTTCACCAATATCTCTGCCTCATTTCTGTGGATTTATATGCTCTTTGATCTAATCATCCTTAGTTTTCTTCAATATCTCTGCCTCCTTTCTGTGGACTTATATGCTCTTTGATCTAATCGTCCTCAGTTCTCTTCGTTTAGCCAATGGAAAATCTTTTCCTATTTTATAGTTATACCAAATTCCCACTAAGTGCTCTATATACTCTATATGTTTGCCTTGTAAATCACATCTTAATGTTTCGAAAGCTTCTAGATGTGCTCACTTGCTGAATTTACCTTCCTTCCTTCCGTTCGTTCGTTCGTCCTTCACTCGCTCCTTTCGTCCTTTGCCAATTGATATAGATCCCCTTTGCTAGACCTTCTCTATGATGCACATCCTGACTTTTTGTAGGACGAATAGCTCTTAGCCAGATATGCTGTTTGGCTTTTTCGCTCAATCTTTTTGGCCATGGCCATTGAGGCCTGCCCGTCGAACGGACACCGTTCGCTCAAAACGTTTTCGCGTAGGTCAATGCTTGAGCATCACGAGTTGGACGAGATGAGCGAGCGAACCCCAATGCCTGGGCAACCTTTATCCTTGCCAGCTACTTGAGCACGTGTGGCGTCTCAAGCATCCTAACGTTCTAATGTGCCACACACACTCTCTCACTCCCACTCTCCCTGTCTCTCTCTCTCTCGCTTTGTCTCTGTCCTGCTGTTGGCGAATGTAGGTGAAAAAGCAACGCATTTTAGAATCCTCGCCAGGATATATTCACAAACCTCTGTCTGTGCGTGCCTTCGTTATCCTCTTTAGACGCTGTGCCTGGCGCGTGAAAATGCGTTTCAAGATTCACACCTACTTGAGAGAGCGAGCCTTATTCATATGAGTGCCTGGTGAATGGCAACTGAATCTCTCCGAGTGCCAATTGAAGTGCGCCACAGCGACACGGTGAATGACTCAAGTGAATTTAAGTGAATGTGTTAGCATAATACTCGGCGAATAGTCAGCAAGTGCATTCATGTGCACTCATGAGTGGACATGTCATAGCAATGTGAAGTACAACAGTTGTATTCACATGCATTCGCTCAATATTGCTTGAGTGTTTCTTTCCGAATTGAACTATTCATATGCATGTATTCACTTGACACTCATGAATACACTCATGGAGTAAACTAATCATTTTTTGAATACAGATATATGTATGTGTAATATCAAAACTATTGACTGGTATTCACTCATGCACTCTGTACGTATACTCATTTAGGGCTTCGAATACTTTTTGTATTCATTTTTATTCATTGTTTGATTAGATTGATTTCTTATGTATTCATGTTGGGCTCAACTGAAATCACATTTCTGATTGAATATATATGAATCTATAGCAAAAGAATTGTATTCGAAATTCATATTCATCTGATTCATATGAATATTATTTGCTTTACATTTCGTTTCACATTCAGAGATTTTCCGAAGCTGCTGTTATTTTCAGCAAGTGAATGTTTATTCACTCAGCTGTTTCATTTGATTCATGACTGCCAATGATTCGTTTACTCTTGAATGAATTTTCATATTCACTCAATTGTTATTGATTTAAATGATTCATTTGTACTTATACTATTTGAGTATTCGTTTTGAGCTCGTTCATATCTCATTAAATTTGCAGCTTATGTATGCCCGCTGTTTCACAGCTTTGGCATTTATTCACTTATTCACTCAATGATTCATTGCGTTTTCGCTCTTGTTTGCCAAACTACAAATTTCTTTGACGCCTCGAACGGCGCTTTAAGCTCTTTGCCCTTCGGTCGCACCTCCCTCACCCCTCCTGAAGTGCCCTAGCGGTGGGCGGTGGACGGTGGGCGGGGCTGGGTAGCGGCTGTTCGCGCTGTCGGCCGTTGCAGTTGCCCAACAACAACACCAAAAGCTAAGCAAATATTTGCAAAAATAGTTTTTCGCTCGCACCCCGCCAAACCACCCGCACCCTCCCCTCCCCCACCAGCCCCTCCGCTAACAGAAAAGAAAAGTTTCTCGTGCACCGGCGTCTGTTGGGCGTCTGCTGGCGCTGGGCGTGGCGCCATACTACAGCCACGCCCACCATTGACGCGCCCAAACAAAACAGGCGCGCCGCCTTTATAAATATGTAAACTTGCATTGCGCCGCTCAGCGCCAAAAAGTTTATTGCCCCCACTCTGGCCCCCTCTACCACTCCCACACTCTCTCTCTCTCTCTCTCTCTCTCTCTCTCTCTGCGGCGCTCGCTCGTTAATCCTTAAGCTCATTAGCAGCTGGCGCTCAAGTGTGAAACTAAACCAAGTGGCCATCCATAAACATAACCACTCCAACTGCCACGCCCACCGCGCGCCTTCAAGCCCCTACTGCGGCTCCCTCTCTCTCTCTCGCTCTCTCTAATGAGTTGAGCCGGGGTCAGCGCACAGAAGCTGAATGCTGCGAAAGTGTTGCGCCTAACATGCAATTGTTGTAGCTAGCCCCCACGCCTCCTGCCGCCCCCTGCTGCTGCTGCTGCCACTGCTGCCACTGCTGCTGCTGCTGTTGTGGCAGCTGCCCCCACCACGTTTCGAGTGGCTTGTAAAAAGTTTTTTAAGTACTCATTCATTTGTTCTACCGTACAGCACACACTCACACACACACACACACACACACTGAGAGAGACGGCCGCAGCTTGTGGCAAGGCGCTTGCCACATGTGTAAGTTGCAACTTTTGTGCACGCCACATGCGCCTGCTGCACGTTGTTGCTGTTGTTGTTGTTGTTGCTGTGGCATGCAAATAGCATTGAGACGTCGCTCCCTACAATGAGCCCCCTCACGAGCGCCCCACCCCCTCGTTGGCCCAGCTAGTGCGAAAACTACAAGTTGTTTGCTGTT